GGATACACTCCAGCGATCTAATCAGCAATCTCAGCGTCGCGACGTTGACATGAAATTTCTCATACGCTCGGTTAGACGCGACGTCGACGCTCGATCGGCTATTTGGCTATATTCCCCCGCTTCTACGCTTCTACGGCCATTTGCATACACAGCTTCTGTAGATGTGTATCAGTATGAGTCTGTCTCTCTCTCGAGCTGTGTGTGTGTGACTCTACCTGGCGCTCTAAGGGATCGCTCGACTCAGACCGCCAGATCAGTGCCAGAGCTATTTGCAATTCGAATGCCGCGCGAGTCAGACGTGCAGCTACAAACAAAAAATAAATATATTTAACTAATTAAATACTCATAAAACAAAATCGAACACTAACCGCATTCAAAGTGCATTTGGCTAATGGCAAAGGCCAGAGTCAAAGCCAAACAATATTTGCAAAAAACAACAAAACTAAACAATGCACGGGAATGGAATAGATGAAAGTGTTTGCGAATAATTAGCACATCGATGCCCGTCTGACCCACATCTACAAATTGGGCAAATCTATAATTCATGGGTCGGCTTAACGGGACACGGTTTCCTGGCCTCCTGGCCTGTTTGCATATGTAAATACATAAAGGGTTTAATCTGCAGGCGATTGGGCGGAAAACACGTCCTAAACTGTGCCAAACATAGCCCGCAAACAACCAAAGGCAAACCAACGAAAAAGAATATCTGTGTATCTGTGTATCTGTGCATCCGTGTATCCGTGTATCTGTGCCGTGCGTATCCATGAATTCTGACCAAAAATCAATTACTATTTATTACACGAACATGCTGCAGCGACTCTAACAACAACAACGCAACCAAAAAAACAATGCCTCAATCAGCTTTAACAGCCCCGTGGCTATGCAAAATAGCCATAGCCATGATATTCCTAATGCTGCATCCACATTCCAGCGGTAAGTTATACGAGTATTTCGGACAGAGACTCCTCCTCCATCGCCTCCTCTCTGGAGCCGCCCATCGCTAATTGGCAGCTTTGACGCACTTCATTTGGTATTTTTACAAAAAGTTTAAAAACTGATGTAATTCCAGATAGAGAGAGAGAGAGAGAGAGAGAGCGAGAGAGAATGCATGTGAAGATGCATCAATCCAGTCAGTTTTGCACTTGAAATTAGCATTCAATGGCCAAGTGGAAAACGAAAACCAAAGCTACACAGATCAATTTACAAGCGGAGAGCCAGACACATACAAATAGACTGCGGCAGATGTGCATGTCAGCTGTTATTATTAGCTATAGACATATAGATTTATATATTGCATAGACGTTCTGAGAACAAGCTAACAATAGTTTGAGTAAGATAATGACCTAGACAAGGAAATACCTTGATTTGACGTACTAGAGGCAATTTATTGCAATTTAGATCAAGGTTTCAGTACTAATTATCATGTCTCTGTGGTTCTTATACAGGCTGTCAAGTAAAGCCACTTTTATAGTGTCCAAAAATCTTAGAAAAAGTCGGTAATTATCTTTGATCGGTTTCTATATTGGAGCTATCACTAAAAGTATAAGTTTTGCTATCCTGTATCAAAAATCTTCTCTATATCCCCTTGGAACTTGGAATCTTGGAATGAATCTATAATTTTAATGGGATCAATTACTTGCTATGCTCAGCAGCATCTATCATTCATCATCAATTTATTAAACAATTTTTATATCGGCAACTATTAGGAGTTCACTTTAGTATAAAGTATTAGCTTAAGCCTCAAGAGACTCGTACTTGATTGATTTTCTCATTGCTCAGTTATGCATAAAGATTCCACATTAATTGATGCACACTCATAGAGGTGTTTCCATATAGTACATATATTTATTTATATAGTACCAAGTACAGACATTCCCGCAACTAAGTAGTAATTGATATGCAACAAACGCAAACATTATGACTGCTCAGCAATTCGAAAAATGTTTTGATTCCCAGTCATGCGTGGCCTCATATCTCAGACATGCTTCGCACATACCTCCAGAATACCTCGGACATACGATAACAGACTTAGCGCCTTAACGGGCATCAAATTCTTAACGTTTCCCTCTCGCCACAGTTGCCCTGCTACTCAAGTGTCCGCTGCATCAGATGCAGCTTCAGAAGATTGTGGGTTTCCGACCGCCCCTCGATCATCTAGGCGAGGCAAATTTGATTTATGCACCGCCCCCTGGCAGCAAGTTCAAGGATCGGGATAGACGCAGCGGAGATACGGATTGGGATCGCCGCAGCGGAGATCAGAATGGAGACCAGGAACCACCGGCCAGTCAGATGTGCTGGCGCATCTGCGACGAGGATCCCGACTGCATTGCCTATGTGCATCTGTTGGACACGGACGAGTGCTATGGGTATTCCTACTTTGAGCGCACCTCCCGCTATCTGGCCATATCAGGGGAGCTGCCGCTGGTGGCCGATGCCGAGGCCGTGTTCTACGAAAAGACTTGCCTGAGGGGTAAGCTGTTCACTGCCGGACACGAGGGCGTTCCCGACCTTGGTTAACTTCCAATTCTTTGCAGTTCCCGATGCGTGCAAAGGTCGTCTGTGGGCGCTGACCAAAATTCCCGGTAGCACGCTGGTGTTTCAGAGCAAGAAGACTATTCCGCGGCTGGTCACGCGTCGTGAGTGCGCCGAGAGATGTTTCTTCGAAACCCAATTCAAATGCCTCTCGGCCTCGTTCGCCCCCTCGTATCGGAACAATCGTGAGCGGTAATTGTCGGTGTTTCTGGTGAAATTAATTGCCTTTGTTATGCATTTTTAATGCATGCTGCCAGAGGCTTTTCCCCGCATTATGACATCATCGCTGGCTGTGGGCCCCAAAGCGAAGTCATAAATCACCCAGAGATACGATTTGGGGGGGTTCTAACCTGAACCGTTTGACAATATTCCAATATACCCCACAGGTTTCGCAACGATGTGGGTTCCAGTCCCTCGCCACGTCTGGGGCGGTGCATGCTGAGCGACAGGGACAAGACCATCCAGCCAGATGCCTTCCGGGCGGCGCCCTACGACGAGGAGTACATGGAGAACCAGTGCCACGAGAGGGCCATAGAGAGTGACAACTGCTCGTACGAGCTCTATGCCAACAGCAGTTTCATCTACGCGGAAGCCAAATATTTGGGCCTAACCCAGAAAGAGGTGTGTCTGTCCCGGGCTGGCCCGGGCTCGTCGTGGTTCGACTGTCGCGCATTATGATTGTAATCGATTGGGAGAGCAACTGAATGATTGATTGATGACCCTTTCGTATTGCAGTGTCAGGCGCTGTGCTCGCACGAGTCCAAATTCTACTGCCAGGGGGTCTCCTTCCACTATGTGAATCAGCTCACCCTCTCCGAGTGCCTCCTACACTCGGAGGACATTGTGTCGCTGGGTCCGCGCAGCCTGAAGCTACGCGATAACTCTGTCTATATGCGACGGGTTAAGTGCCTGGATGGTGAGTACACACATACATACATAAATATTCCCAATTCCTCCCCAATACACTTTTTCTTTTCCCCAAAAGTCCAAGTCTTCTGCACGAGGGAGGAGATGAGCATCAGGTACAACCCAAAGGATTGGTTTGCCGGCAAGATCTATGCCAGCATGCACTCGAAGGACTGCCTGGCACGCGGAGCAGGCAACGGCAGTGTCCTGTTGACGCTGCGAATTGGCAGCGAGGTCAAAGAGAATCGCTGCGGAATCCTGCGGGCCTATGAAATGACGCAGGCATTCCAGAGGCAAGCACTACATCTACGAGTATAGGAGTATTTGCCCAATACAAGAACTTAACTCTTTCCAGAACATTCATCTCCGCCTTGGTGGTCATACAGAACAATCCGAGTGTGCAGACCCAAGGCGACAGACTCATAAAGGTCGGCTGCATCCAGAGCAACGCCACCGCCTCACTGGGCGTGTCTGTGCGGGACAGCAGTGTGGATGCCTCGGAACACATACCCAGTGCCATTGCTCTGGAGTCCTCGCTGGAATATGCCGAACAGTAAGCAACCACATTTGTCCACCCAATCCTCTTTTCGTCAAGCTTCTATTCCCGCAGCATGTTTCCCCAGGAGGGAGTGGTGCACTACAACAGCACCACTGGACCCCATCCGCATCCCAAGATCACGCTGCAAATAGTCGACCTCTCGCACCAGCACGAAACGAACGATGTGCAAATTGGCCAGAATCTGGAGCTGCAAATCGTGGCCGAATACAGCCCGCATCAGGTGGCCAAACATCTGGAGCTGCAGCTGGCGCCTCTGCCGGATTTCCGAGCAACGTCGCTGGTGGCCAAAACGCAGGATAACAAAAACTACGTGCTGCTGATCGATGAACGCGGCTGTCCCACCGATGCCAGTGTCTTCCCGGGACTAGAGCGCGTCCGCACACACTCCAGGAGCATGCTGCGAGCCCGCTTCCATGCGTTCAAGTTCTCCGGCACCGCCAACGTCAACTTTGATGTGAAGATCCGCTTCTGCGTGGACCGTTGCTCCCCCCGCAACTGTGTGGGCCACAACAGTGACGCCTGGCATCGTCACAAGCGCCAGGTGGAGCAGCCGGAGCGGCAGCTAGAGCAGCGCAGAGTGCAGAATCCCGTGTATATCTCGACAGTTGTGGATGTGCTGCCCGATTCGACCACCAACACGACTACTCCTTCCATGGGCAACACGAGTGCGCAGGTGGAGCTGCCGCTCAACTACAATCTTCGCGTTCACGGTCCGGACCAGACCAACGCCAACAGCTACTTGTACGGGGAGCGCGGCGTGCTGCTGATTGCTGGCATCGACGACCAGCTGCATCTGGATAACGTGTGCATGAATCAGAGCCTGCTAATAGCGCTGTTCATTTTCTGGCTCATCTGCCAGGTAGCTATGCTCTTTGGCTGCGGCATGGTGCTGCAGCGGTACAGGCGCCTGGCCAAGCTGGAGGAGGAGCGCCGGCGACTGCACGAGGAATACCTAGAGGCTAGACGCGTCCACTGGGCGGACCAGGGCGGATACACACTATAATTGTCTGGGACGCGTACAAAATGCATCTTAATTTAATAAACTAATGCGAATCTTACATACAATCGAAGCGGAAAACTGAGACAAATGTTCAGGCGACTGTTCAGGAGTTCTTTTTTGGATGGTAGCTCTCCCACTTGCGATGGTTGAGCGAATTAAAGTCCTTGCAGTGAAGGGCTATCTTGCGCAAGTATTCCGAGAGCTTCAGCAGCTCGGTGTCCGTGGCCCGATTGAGATGGGCCTGACGGAAGGGGCGTATCTTGAGGCCCGACTTGGGATTCATTAGGAAGTTGCGGCGAATGTCGTCAAACATAATGGTGTTGCTGGCGCTATACTGCTTGTAAAGGGCCCAGATGACGCCCAGGGGCTTCACGTCCACCACACCGCGCTCCTGCACGTGGACCGAGATCATCGCATTCGAGTCGAGGTAGAACATAATTTTATAGCTCTCATTGTTGGCCACTCCCAGCAGACGCATCTTCTCCTCAATCCAGCGCATGCTGGTGGCCGACCAGATCACTATATCGTAGTCCGCATAGGCGGATGTGAGAAACTCGTGCAAGTACGGACGCATCAGTTCTGTGCCTGTTTCCGCCGGCGAGCGGTGATCGAAAAGCGTATAGTCTATGTCCAGGACGAGCAGTTTCTTGCCCTCGCGTGGCGGCGAGAGCTCCTTTATCTTGTAGTCACGCACGCGGCGCTGCACCTTGGCCAGATACACTGCCGAATTTTCCACGGACTCTTCGCGCTCCTCGGCATCATCGAAGTCGTCCACCACCTCGCCCACGTCCTCGGGCAGGCGGCAAGCATCCTCAATGTCCGCCTCCTTCGAGCCGACCATCATCAGCTTGAAATTCGGCTTCAGCTCCAGGGCACTTATCTTTACATTGTCCGCGGCGGTTTTGCCTGCAAAATCAGAGTGTAGACGAGTGTCTTTGGAATGGTAAATGGCAATTACCTTTGTACTTCAAATTCAATAGCTTCTGCCGCTCCGGGCGCACTTGTGTTTTGCGGAAGATCTCATGACGCAGCACTTCAACGGTGTCCTGGTCGGTCAAGTCCACCGGGTACTCCTTGCCGCTCCATTTAACAACAACAACCACTTCCTTAATTTCGTTCATTTTCGCACAAATTTAATCGGTGCGAAAATATTTTGTTGCAAATTTATTTTTGCGCGAGAAAATCTGTGTAAACGAAAAACAGCTGTCAGTAGGGGTACTTTCGCTGTGATTTTACAACTGCTCAAATTGTACCATTTATATGCCATGCCATGAAAAATACTGAAACCAAAAAAACAATGCATGATTTATATAGGGTTTTACAATAAAATTGCTTAATTTGCTCCAATGAACGATAGAAAATGTATGTATCTTTCAAATAAAATTATGTGTTGAGTGCTGAGAGTCCTAGCTAGCTAGTAATATTAAGCCGAATATCAAAATCAAAGAATATCTACGCATCTTGTCGTGTCCGTCAGTATATTTACGGTATATTATTTAATAAGTTCCAATGTTTTTATTTTAAGGTCCAAAATACTGCCTTCGCCTCATAGTGGTGTTTCAATATTGCTCCTTTCCGTGGTGAAGAGAGCGCTTTTCGTGGTGACATTCGCTCTTTTTCGTGGTGTGAGCCACATGTTCCTAACGGGAACATGGAATGTATATTCATTGTTGCGAAGTTCCATACGGTTTCGTTCCCGTAAGATACATTTGATTTGTACAGGAAAAATTTCAGCAACATGGGGAAATTAATATGCAGTTATTGTTGTGCAACTCACGAAATGAGCAACAAATCTGAATACCTTGGGAAAATGGATATTATGGACATGAGATATTGTTTTTAATTTCAGGCTCCATTTAATGCAGAAACTACACAGTCTCTGTTTTAAAGATATTAATGAAATTTTGCAGCTCTCGAGTACCAATAATAAGTTTCAGAACCGGCATAAATGTATATATAAAACACAAAACATATGCATTAATAGGTAAAAAACATGTCAATCTAGGATCAAATCATTATTAATGTTCCATGGAGCTTGGAACAACAAATTTAACTCCATTAAAGGAATTGGTATGACAGCCATACGCATAGAGAACTTGGTTGACCAGCAACAATGCGTCACATTTAGTCAACTTTACGTTTTATGCTTTGTCCGTTTTGTTTGAACCATATTGAAGTTCCATTGAAGGGTTGAAAACTAGCCAATCCTGATCAAAATTTATGGGGGAACTGAATAAAATTATTTGCCTAGGACTGAGAGGGCCAACTAGCTAGTAATATTAAACGGAATATCAAAATCGAGGAATTTCAACGTCTTGTCGTGTACGTCAATATTTTTACGGTATATTTTGATAATGGCTTGGTATATTTGGCTATATTTCTGTGGGTCTGTCTGTCCTTCGGAAACTAGAGCTGTCAAACGATTGATAGTTGAGCCATCGATAGTTTTGAATGTTTTGAAAAAAACTGTCGATGCTATCGGGCTCAAATAATTATTAAAAAACCATTGAAACCTTTTAAGAATTTGTCGATTTGTTTACAAATTTGTCTTCGTATTTTTGAGCAGCCAATCCAAACATATCAAAAGCGCAACAACTGTAGCTCGATACTATCATGATAGTCGCAAAACCGTCGATAGTAGCGGATAGCAGCAAAACATCGATACTATCGATAGTGCACTCGATGGTTTGACACCTCTATTTACTTGTGAATTGCAATTTTTGTAGTTAAAAAAAAAACACATTTTAATCCTGAATAAAAGCAACGAAAATGGCCAACACACAGGCGACCGTAACCGCTTACTTGGCTTTACAGAAGAAGACCACAAACAAAGACCTCGCTGCCGAGTGGACCCTAATCGAGGAGCTTCATAATGAAAAGTAGGCATTACAAATGATAGACCCCGAAAGTTTTGCTTTAATTTGAAAATTTGCAGGTTGTGGAACGAGCTGACCATCAAGCTGGTGACATTCGTGCGCCATGAATCGTTGCAAGACGAATCGGCGCTGCTGCAGCTCTACCAGAACTTCATTTCAACGTTTGAAACAAAGTGAGTCCCGCCATGACTTGGCACAATTGCAGAATCACATTGAAATTTCTTGATTTACAGAATAAACCCATACGGTTTGATCCAAATTCTTGAAGTAGTCGTGGACAATATTAGCGACAAGGCAGAGGCCATCGAATTCCTGGAGAAAATTAAGGACAAAGTCAAGATTTGCGATGAGGCTGTGTGGTACCTGCAGGTCATGCAGGGCAACCTATATCTCACAAATCTGAACGATCTGAACTCCACCAAGAAGATCATCGAGGAGTTGCGCGATGTCTTGGAGGAGGCCGGCAATGTGACGCCCGTTCACGGCAAATACTACATGCTCGCCTCGCAGTACTATCGCCGTGTGGGCAAGCACAGCGACTACTACCGATGCGGCCTGCAGTTCCTGGGCTGCTCGCTGGACGACTACCCACGCGACCAATGGGCACAGCAGGCATTCTTCCTGGGACTGGCTGCCCTGCTCGGCGATGGCGTCTATAACATTGGCGAGCTGTTGGCACATCCCATTCTGGAGTCGCTGCAGGGCACTGACAACGTGTGGCTGGTGGATCTGCTCAAGGCATTTAACACGGGCGATATTAACAAGTACGTAGAGTATCATCTTCCACAGGCTAGTAGCTAATCTTTGTACTCCACAGATTCAATGACATGAAGAAGATCTGGTCAAAGATTCCCGATCTGGCTGCCCAGGAGGTCAAGCTGCGCCAGAAGATCTCCCTGCTCTGCCTCATGGAGATGACATTCAAACGCTCGGCCATCCAGCGAGCCATTTCCTTTACGGACATTGCCCATGAGACCAAACTGCCGGCCAAGGAAGTGGAGCTGCTGATCATGAAAGCCCTGGCCCTGGATCTGGTGCGCGGCGAAATCGATCAGGTTGCTGGTGTCGTGAACATGTCGTGGGTGCAACCGCGCGTCCTGAACCGCAACCAGATCGTCGGCATGGCGAGCACCCTGGACTCCTGGATGGGATCCATCACGAGCATGGAGAAGCTGATGGAGAATCGTGCAGCTGAAATTCTCACCAATTAGGCTTAAGTTTGCATTAGAGTTTCGCTCGATCTTGATTTCCATTTGCGTAAATGCCTTTGTATTTAATTAAAACCCATCTAAAGTCATTGTTAGTGTTCATTTCGTTTTGGTTTATTAACTTTCGGACTATTGTTTCATTCTTTTTAATCTCCCTGAAAGTTTCGCGTGTAAAAATGTTGGCTCTTGTGCGTTGGGGACACAACTTACGGACTAGAGTAAGCCTACGCTTAGTTTCTAGATCAGATCACTTATCGAGGAGTTGTTGCTTAAAGCTAGTTCTTATCCTTATGGGTTATTTACAATTGTAAGAATACAGCGAATTTAGTGGTAGACTCTGGTTTCTAGGGTGCTAAATGTCGATCATCAATTTGGAATCTTCTATAGCAATAATCGCCGCCGCATGCATATCACTAGCTGCTGCCTGGTGGAGGCGGACGTGGCGACACCTACCGCCGCCCGCCACTGTGCCCACAATCAAATGTTCAAGCAGCGGAGTTTCGTCTCAGGCACGCGCGACGTGAACTCGAAGGAGGGCTGGCGGCGAATATCCTCGTGGGAGTCGCGTCGTATCCTATCCGGATTGCGGCCCATCACCGACGACAGAGGTATTTCTTGGCGGTAGAGCTCGTCGAGCACCAGACGCTCCAGCTCGAACAAATGATCATCCCGCACGCCGGGTATCTCCTCGTGCATGAAAATAGCCAGTCGCAGCAGGTACTCGGCATTGTGGCCGCTCGGACCGCGACAGGTGGCAATCTGGTGGGCAATCTCCGGCAGCGGCGCCTCGCCCAACCAATGGTGGTTCTCCGGCGTGGCCACATACACCAGCACCTCGACAGCCTCGCCACTAAAGGGTGTGTCCTGGGAGGCAACGCGGGGGAAGAACTTTGCCTCGAGTGTTGCATAGCCACCTGAGGAGGATTGGAGTCATGGTTAGCTCGGAATCAGACAGCAGTTATTAGAGTTCTGATAGTCACATACCTAATGTGCATTCACGCTGCTTGAGATACTCGAGGGCCGTGTTGCCTGATACTCTGTAAGCACAGCCCCATGTAATACCCTGCAATTGAAAATAAAAAGAACACTTAAAAAAAAGATCAAAACCTATATATAAAAATAATCTAATAATAGATAAGATTTCCGCCTTGTCCCTAGAGTGATTTGAACCAGTTTTGCTTTTTGTGGATTTTCTAATTTTATAATTCCCAAGTCTTTTTTCGTCAGCAGTCGCGTATATATAGCGCTCTTTCTGTAGTTCTATGAGCCGGTTTGAGTTTTTCATGCTTGTCTCTCGGGGTCACAAACGAGTTCCTGGTAACTCTCGATCAATGCCCTGGGTAAAGTCCCCGGGCCTAGGATAGAAAGTATCAAGGTGTAAAATTGCATGTGCTGTCGGCTTTCAGGTTCCTACCTGGGCAGGCACGCATTCACCTATATTCCGCGGAATTTCGCCTTGCATATGATGAAGAAGGATCCGCAAGGATCTCGAATTATTACGCTCGGTTGTCTGCGGAAATCTGCCAGAGTTTTTCACCTAAGATATGGACGAGTTGGTTGGCCTCCATGCGACAACGCTGGAGTGTCGCCTACACAGAATGGGGCTTACATTGGGAAATTTGGACGGCGAATACACTTTTTTTTCCAGTAATTTATGAGTTGTACATTCAAGTTTACTTACCTCTTTGTCCTTCAATAGGGTCGCTACACGCCCAGGCTGTAAAACACAAAGAGAGAAAAATATTTATCCATCATCATACTCGTAAGTACATATTGCAAATGCATTTTATTTGTATTTTCTTATATGTACATATATGGATTGCATTTATCGCCCTCACAAAGGCTCCACGGCCGCTCGCCTATACACTGAGTGCACGTTCTGCTTACTTTTTCTGTATATTGTATATAAAAAATATTAAAGGCAGACCTTGACTTATTTTCGCCTTTGGTGTCTTTGTCTTAGGAGTGACACAGATGGGTGGTAATTATTTTCTACTGGGGCGTTGCGTAAAACCCTATATTGAGGGACTCTTATACTATTCTAAAGTGTTTTTTGTGATGGACAATTGTTTGTTCTTAGAATTGTTTACTAAGGGAATCGGTTAAGAGGGGAGAGCTTCAACTGATTGAACACATTCCAATACCTTCAAATTCTATTCTACGTTCCATAACAAATTGCAACTCAATTTGTTCCAAATGTATTAAGGAATGTTACCTTAAATATCATGCTAAAACATGTTCAAACCGAAACGTGTTTCACCTTCCCTCCCTTTTGTAGATATCAATATTGCAAGGGGCTTGTCCCGCTCCGCCCCGCGACTTGTTGAGCAAGCAAATCAGTTATGCTAATGGATACCCAATCTGTATCTTAATGGGGAATCGCTTTGCTATGGTATGAGTACTGTCGCATTGATGGCTGGCTGCCCGACTGGCATATGTTAATTTGACTTGTTTGTTTGCCATTAGCCCGCCCCAGGCCCGACAAAGGCTGATAACACGCGACAAATAGATAACGAAAGCTGTGTTTCAGCACCACCACATTTAGCAAATAATAGCCGTAATAATATAATATTTAGATTGCTTCAGTGGCAGCCAGACAAGTGTAAATAAATAGCTAATAGATTCAGACCCATTCCAGGGTTGGGACTCACCTTTTCTTCTGTGCCGCGGTGTGTGGCATTTCCCTGCCAGAAGCGGCGCACGAATCCTCGGACATAGCCCGTGATGCACTTGCTGAAGGTGAAGCCAGGATGCCAGCAGAGGGAGCCGTATCCAAAGACCCAGCACTCAGCTCCTTGCTGCTCATTGTTGTTGGCATTGTTCTGGTGGTTCTCCTGCTCATTATTGCCTTCGTTTCCATTGTTGTTGTTGTTGTTATTGTAGGTCCCATCCTCCTCTGCGGAACCCAGCGGCCCGTTGGTGAAGAGATCTTTAAAGGAAGCGGGCACTGCCCCCGCCGCTGCCTGCTGATGTCCACTATAGTGAGCCATGTCCCCCCCGATCCGTTAAACCTATTTTCTGTGGGTTCCAAATTGTCTTCTGGTTGTGTTCTGTTTGGTGCTCTGTGTTATGATCCGCTCCTTTGTCTGATTACGCTGCTAGTTGGACATGCTTCTTCCTTGGGACATGCAGGCTCCCCGCTCCTCTCTGTCTCTCCACGCGCGGTGGTCTCTCTGTTACATAGCTCGCCGGTCACCGGCTCGACCTGTCCACCGAGAGTCTACGTTGTGAGTTCTGGTCAAAAAAGAGAATAGAGTTTGGTTTATAAAATAATTTTGAACATTGTTGCCTAATGTGTTTATTGTACAATGGTACTGTCTATGTGTAATTGTCACATTATTTAACGCGAAGCTTACTTGATCAATCGGAAAGGTGTGTGTGTGGGTGGAGTTTTCTGCCTGTATTATTTCTTTTATATTTGCTGGTCGCTTCTCGTCGTCTACTGCGACTAAATAGTTCCGCGATCCGCAGGGAACTAAATCGCCGGCCAGCGCGAAAACCGAAAACATTTCCAACGCCCCAGACGGAGAAGAGGAAGAATCCCCCAGAGGCACAGCAAAAATTATTGTATGAAAAAAAAATTAAATAAATATTTATGACGCTCTGTGTCTGACGACTCTCAAGACTTATCTACAGAGAGCTATACACTCGTAGCTATGAATAGGAGGAACGTCTTTTCAAATTGTTGCTGCTCTCCCAAGTATTCTCTCACTCTCCCACTCTCACTCTCTCTCTCCCTCTCAGTAGGTTGCACTCTATCGATGGGGGGAACCGGCCTTTGGGTTCTTTCGGTTTTCGTATTAAAGGTAAAGGTAACACGATCCATAAATAATCTAACAATTAAATAAAGTCAAATATTTATATACCTTATAAACGCTAAATAATAGTCGATCATATAATGACTCGGCATAGCAAATCGACACGCAAAAAGAAATCCCATTCACCTGAAGGATCGATCATAAATTGGGGGGCATTTAATAATTATTAATATATAAATGCCTCAAATTAAGATTCGATTGTGGATTGATTTTTAAAACTTGCCAATCATGCAATCCACATGGATCGTAAAGATCCAGCCAGACACAAAACAAATCACTTGAACTGATATATGGTACTGCTGGTAAACATTTCTATATTCATTTAATTATTGGTTTTCCTGGATTTTCCTTGTTTATGAGGAATAAATCATTTAGTTCTCCCTCTCTATCTGTCTCTGCCTGGCAACAAAACCCCACAGCTGATAGGGAAATTGTAACAGCCATTTACACAGATTAGATAAGTTCAAAGCTGATGGATTTCGTAGTACTATAAGTACGATTTTATCCATAAAGTTGTATGAACTACAGAAATGCCAATCTGTGCGCTTCTCATGCGTTAAATGATTTCTCTCGAAGATCTTGTCTTGAACAGTCAGTGATAGTTCTGTTTTTCTTGTAGAAATATTTTGAATCTATTTAAAATAAGATTAATTCACCATTGCTGTAAAGAATTCCTTTAATTTATTTATAAGAATTTACATGCATATGTATACGTGTATTTAAGTGCAATCATACATATGTATATACATATGTATAACACTGTTCCACTAGCCTGTGAATAAGCAAACGGACATATTTCTTTCGAACTATTCAGCCCTTTTGAACGATAAAATCCCATAAAGTGTTACGTATAGTACTCATGGAACTGTTTTATTAAAGAGCATTCATTGTTCTGCTTATATGAAACCATATTTTTATCAAGCTCTTACTTTCGCAAAATGACAGGCATGAGGGGCTTATATTGAATGTGGGAGCGATCTATGCTAACTATTGTACATCGCCAGTCGCCCTATACTAAGCACATAATTTGAACGGACAAACCATCGGCATATGAATGTGAATGTTTGGGCATGCGAGGTGTCGGCCTGCCACACCGTCGGATCGTGATTTGGCCCATTAACAAGGCACGCTCATGGTACATTATACGATATATTCGGGTATGCATATGTCAAGATATATGTATGTACATATGTATGTTTGTTTAAATTTTGTGTTTGTATTTTTAGCTATTTTATATCGCTTATCGTATACATTTTGCACACTTTGTTTTGATTGCCGCCTTCACTCTATGCTTCTCTCTCCCTCTCTCTTTATGTGTGTGTGTGTGAGTGCTGGTATGTATCTCCGAGCTTTCTGTTTTTATACGCTGTTTCTAAATACCAGCCTGTGTATTTTATATTTATAACTTTATAGAGGTATGTATGTCTTCTTCTTGGGGTTTGGTTTGGCATTTTGCATAAATAAATTGACCCAAAAACAGGCTGGCTGGATGGAAAATTACCAAACAAAAACAAGTTCAAAAACCTAACGCACATCCGCAGGCGGCACACGCACATGCTCAGATACGAACACCCACCCATACCCATTCGTACATCCACCTTTCTTACGCATTCGTTACGTACACGCAATGGTGTCCCCTCGTCTCTTTTTGGCAAATGAAAAACGCTCCGAAAAGAGAATCTGCTCGCTACACATTTCTGGGTCCTTGATACTGAATTTTTTTCGTTGAGAAAGTTTTTTGCCAACGGTTCAAGGTTATCCCAGGTTTTTTTTTTTCATTCTTGTATTGTTTATATAAAAGTGTTTGATAGTGTCTTTTCTCGATGCGTGTGGGGTGGAGAAACGAGGCAGGTGGAAGGCCAGATTATGGCTAATATCAATTTGTTTTCGGTGCATGATTCGGTAACAGGCGCTAGCCTAAAATTCTGTGCTCCGTTTTCTGTATACACAACAAAATGCTTAAGTACAAAAGATATGGCATGTACTCGCACACATGTATGTATGTATATACATGTATGGTGGGTATAAAAGTATCTGTGTGCTCATATGTGGACGGAGGCTCTGGAGCAGAGCTCGTCAAAAGTCCACAAAGCACACGAAACCATAGACAGACACGAATACTCCATGGATTGGCCTTTGGATTGGGGTTGGTTGGTATTGGGGGGTTTTACGTGCAGCTGTCTACATTTTCCTTCTTTCTTATATCATTTGCTTGTTGGTATCACTTGAATTTCATCTCACAGCAAATGAACACAATTAAGATTGACAGCAAGCTGAATGAATGGAATTAATGCCACTCTCTCTCCATAAGGTACTTACTAAGTATTAAAGACTATTCTCACGTAAAGCAAGCCCCTTAAAAATGCCATCGTAATCGAATTAAATGCCTCTCCACATGTCTGAAGTATTTTTTTTACTTTATTTTGGAAATTATACAATTAATTTGAAGCCACTTGAGAATTAAATAAGCCACGCTACTTGTGGACTTGCACTTCTGGCAAAACAATTAAAAATATATTTTATTTTATTACACATAATAAAATTTAAAACATTTAATTCCCCCTCGAATAAAGCCCACCGGGTGGCTATTAAATATGAAGGGGTTGTGGAGGGAACCACCGGACAAGCCGGCTGCTGAATATTATTGATAAATCACCTATTAGAGCGAACAAAACTCGAGTGTGTAATTTACAGTCGTTCAGTTGTTGCCTTTTCTTATCATCGCTAAACCTGATAAGAGTTCATTATGACTGCGTCTGAGAAGGAGAGGCTTTTGATAAGCAATGGCCCCCAGATACCACGTAGAGTTGCAAAATGCTGCCCCCTTGAAACTATTTTGTTGCAGGGTCTAGGCGAGCGATAAGAAATTATGAACTGAAGCCAGATGATAGATAAAAGTGTTTGCCAGACATTCGGGTAGGACAACAACACGTAAGGTAAACAACATTTGAGGCCTCCAGTTCTCTCCTCCATACACAAACATATCTTTAAAAATTAACACATTTGGCCTAATTTCGCTTAATTCGATTTTTGTCTTTTGCGCATTTTCATTCTGTGTTCCGTCAGTGTGGTGTGGGTACGAGTATTTGTCTCATTTTTGGTAGGATTTATTGTGGGACCACACGTGTTGCTCTCTTCTTTTGGTTCTCTCTTACTTAATATACGAGTATACTCAAACAAAATACAATCTATCTTCTTGAACTTTACTAATGTTTGCGGTCAACACTTAAAGATCTTGGCGCAAATAAGTTCTTTAAGAGGAAGTTTGCTCTCACAACTGAAAAAATAATTGTTAAATAATGCTACAAATGAGCTTCCTTCTACAGACTCTCTTCTGTTTGTTTGAAATATTTACTTGAGCCTATATTTAGCTCATATTTATTTCTCTTGCCATATCCCGTAAATAAACGTTTTGATTGCATTTCATATCTCTGCACTTAAATGCTTGACAACCTTGAATTGGTTTTATAATTGAAATATTTTGCTTTTAAATGGGTTAGCTGTCAAGTGAGCATAAATTAAAGTGGAGGAGGCTATAAAATTAAAATAGCTTTTTATACATTTTCATCTGGGGAATGCACACGGCACGTGCCAAAAAGGGCGAACTGAAATGACTCGTCGATGGGTCTAAATAATTGTTTAAACCTATTAATATCAATGTGAAACGTGACAGGCCCTAAATATTATGTAAAGCTTTTGTAAGCGTATACGTACATACATAAATATGTATGTAAGCATGCAGTACTGCTGTAAGTGTGTACATAGTGTGTACGAGTGGTTGAAGATTGTACAACCTCTTTTGACAGAGTGGGAAAAAAGAAACCAGATGCCGACTGAACAAAATGCAATCCACAAAAGAAAATAATGAAAATTTCATTTGGATTAATAATCGGTTTTCATTGAGCTGCCAGCCGGCCAGGGCTTTGTGCAATGACCTTGGGCGTGTGACACTTCGGGGAAGCTGGCTGTCCATGAAATGGAGATTCCAGCTGTGAGAGAATTTTATCAACAAAGTGTCGGCCAAGTGAGGTATCCTGAAATTCGTAATTAACTTATCTGAGATCTCTTAAATTTTTTACTACAATTTGTGCATAACCTTATACATACACATTTAAATATGTATATATGTATGTATGTGTGTAAAGTATTAATTGCTATTTCGCTTATGTATTTCAATTAATTCGAATCCCATTTATTTTCATGGTCGATTCTCACAAATTGCATCAACAACTTGCATGCACAGTGTGTAGGCAATAAATTAAACTATATGTGTTTACGCATACACTTGCACGAATTATAAAATTAAAACAATAACAAAAATCACTGTGGAGAGCCCTTCCTAGAGGGAGTGGGAGTGTGGGGTGGAATAATCCAGGGTGTAAATATAAAATGTGATGCATGTTCGGAGAGCTCTCGTTTGAGTTCAAGCTGCAGTTCAAGGTACATATTGTATGTATCATACAAAAATTAAAATAAATATAAAGATCAGGAAGCAGGTACGAAGATATTCTTTTCCTAGTATCTTTGTGAGATTTTTATTGAAAATAATTTTTTTTGTGATTCCTTTTTCAAGCGAGACTGAGACTTGAAGACGGGATAGCCGCACCTTGTATTAATACACTTTGGAGGGGGGGACAAACATCAGATAACAGAGAGATTGCGCGGTAGGTAGTCAGAGTACAAAGGAGGACACAACAACAAAACGCACACAAGCAAAATAACAACATCATGCCCGAGAGTTGTAAAAGTAAATATGTACAACATACATACATATGTATGTATGTATGTATATGCACGTGCTGACAATGAAAGCTTTCAACGTACCAGAGCTGTACATACATACATACATATATGTATGTATTCACAAATTTATATACATCTCTGTTATTTAGTACATAAATACATGTGTAAGAGTGTGCAATACGCGACCGAGACCTCTATTCTATCTGTCAGGGAGACATGATGAAACCTTTTGGCACACTGACACAAATTCGGAGAGGATGAATATCTGATCCAATGCAGCTGTGCATTACCTGTACATTTGTGGCCACTTTCACAGTTAAGTTAATGGTTGAATACTCCAATCTCTTTCGGCTCAGCGCGCACTTATCAGTTTCCGTTCAACTTTTGCACCAATTGTTTATTATTATTCTTTTTTATCAGCATTTTCTTTCCGTTTTGTTTACCCGAGCCGACGATGCGTAGAATTAAACATTAACATTTTGTCCCGCTCTTTTCGAGTTTCGCAATAACAACAACAGTCTCTCGCACAGCGCGCGTCCCCATCCGTTTTGTCCAACGGTTAATATTGAATGCGTCGTTTTTCCGCGCTCAAACAATGCCACGCAGTTGGATGCATGCTCCCCAGTTTCGACCCCACTTCTCACTCACTCGCCTCTCTCTCTCTCTCTCTCTCTCTGTGTCTTCATTGACTTTATTGCTGTGTAAAAGTATATAGTAATGTGAAAACATTTTCTTTTGCGATTTATTAACACTTGAACCGGCTTTTTGTGGTTTCGTACTTGTGCATGTATGTATGTATGTACATACATGTACATTATTTGACGATTACCAAGGGAAACTATATAAGGTGAGGTGGCCTCTCTCTCGCTCCTCTGTATGTGGCCTGAGAAGGCTGTGTACATAGTATGTGCTAGTTTTGCTACATCATATAATTATTAAACGAAACAGTTTTATCGGACTTCTGGTTTTCTTTTATCAAAAATACAGTGTGAATTTTTTCTACCAAACTTTGAGTACTCCCAATGGAAATGCCTCACCTTTATATAAACACACTTTGCCTCAAGGATTTTATGCTGGCGACAGCATTTCTCTCACATTCTCTCTTTCTCTCGCTGCGCATCTGTTTTTGCCATTTCTCTTGTGCCCCCTTTTATACATTGGCTGACGTAATTTTACGCTCTGTTGCCCCATGGTGCACATTTTTATGAATGGGGAAGACCTGTCCCATGGCAACAGCAACCAGAACAACAGGTGAGAAAGCTCCAATTTACACAGATCGAAAAAAGCAAGAGCATCGGTAATTAGCAGACAACAGCCACATACATATCCGTTTATAATTGTCTTAATTGGAAATTGTTGTGCCGCTGTGTTTTCTCGGGGTTCTCTTGTTTAGTTGGCCCAACCTTCTAAATATTAAGATAGAAATACTTCACAGCTGATAAGCAAGTGCCTGTTTGAAAATGACTCCAAAATTGCGTCAGCTTCAGGTAGAACAGGTAAAAAGCATTCTGGAAATTGGTGCGAGTATATTGATTGCGGCAGATTCCACGCTTGGACTCTCTCTCTTTTTTTTTTTATTACGGGATTTTATTTATCGAATCTTCCCTATTAGAGACTTACGACAAGTATACAAATCTTAGCCTAATATATCTATTTAATTAATTACACTAATTACTTAGAGTACGTTCCTAGCTAATATAGGGTTATTATAGCGTTATATAGTTGTCTTCCTTTCGGGTTGGTAAGTCTAGATCCCCAATGGGTGTGCTTGGCATTGTAGTCACCAGCTGCTATAAATCGGTCACCTAGTGGGTCTAAGAATGTTACAAATTCTGTTTCTGAAATGCAGAAGCGTGGTGGGCAGTATACTGCGGCTAGGTTTAGGTAGCCGCTCTGAATTTCAATATGAATTGCTGTTGCCTGTAGATAAGGTGTAGCAAATGAAGGCAATGGATAATGCCTAATGCGATTCTTGATCAGAACGCCAGTACCTCCATGTGCCTTACCATCGGTATGATTTTTCGCATAGAAGTTATAGCCATCGAGGTGAAAATAGTTTTTATTTGTTAGGTGAGTCTCTGATATGAGCATGGCGTCAATGTCGTGTTGAGCGAGGAACTGTAAGAGCTCGCATTTGTGCTGCGACAGACAGGCCATTCAAAAAGATTTCTGTTTGAATAGGAGCTCCAGGAGGAGATTTTGGTTGCGCATAAGCTCCTGCATCGTTTGTTGTATTGCTACCATTGTGTTTGTTATAGTTACCAGTATTGAATCAATTCCACCAGGCAATTGGGATGGATTAGCAGGGGTATGTCGGGCAGAGATTTCTGGGATCTGATTTGATGACTGATGCTGCATTATTCCAGCTGTGGTTGGTTGAAGTGTCGGCTTAGAGACTGAGGCGTACGACCCGTTGTTGTAACTTAACGCCTGAGCAAAAGAAACTCCTGGAGTCGTAGTTGATGGTATATATGGTAAGTTTTGTCGGACGACCGGGTTTCGAGCTTCAGTTATTTGTTGGTTTAGGCGATTTTTCAATTCTTTATAGACAGGACAACCTCTATAGTTGGCAGTATGGTTTCCCCCACAGTTGCTACATTTTTTGGCAGATGGGTCCTCCTTATTTACGGGGCAGGCCTCAGTGAGATGAACATCACCACAGGCAACGCAGACTGCCCGTAGAGTGCAATAGGTTTTCGTGTGTCCATATTCCTGGCAATTTGTGCATTGGACCGGTCCATTTCGTTGTGTGGTTTCTCAACGGTGATCCTACGGTGCAGTAGATATTGAAGCTTGTATATTGGGTGAACTTAATTTTTACTTATATGCATACTTTCAGGTGTCAGTTCTACTTTGAACATTGGCTGGGGAATTTTATTTCTATTTATTATGTTCATAGCCATTTTGACTTCGAAGCCCTTATCGGTAAGTCCCTCTATTATCTCATTGATTGGGACTGTTGGTTCGATTCCTTTGATAACCACTTGTAATCCTTTGCTTCTTTTAAGTTGGTTTGTACTATATACTATGTACATACATAGGTGTAGGAATTCATTTTTTCATTTTCGAGGTATTTCGCAACTGATCGATAGTTTTGTTCGTGATTGACTTGTATTTTTGTTTCATTTATGTTACCCCTTTTTATGGACGTGACATAGAATATGTTTGCGCCAATTTTATTCAGTTCAGCACAATTTGCCTGTCGAACATAAATAGGTGACGGTCTCAATTTGTTGGCCTTGGGTGTTTGGGCGATCTCATCTTCATTTGGGACACTAAGTATCGCAAATCTATTGTTTGCTAGTGCCTTATGTGTCACAGTGTTCTCGGTTATTTTAGTTATTTTAGCTGCATTGTTGTTCTTCACATTTTGTGGGCTCAATTTTCTTTTGATTTGCACATAGCGATCGAGCCCAGCCCAGTCTCTCTCTCTCCCAGGAGGGGAAATACTTGTATAAACCGCTACAGAAGCAAAAACTCTTGGAAGTCAATTAAATAATTGTAATTTAAAATTTTCTAAAGCCCGCCAAGCCGGATCGATAAGTAACTATTCGATTAGCGAAAGATTCGTCCGCCAGCTGGCGTTGTTAGTCTTTGTTTCTTTTTTGTTTCCTAGCATCCAGCTTTTTGCTGCGGTTGATGGCGTTGCCATTTCATTGCCGATTCGTTTTGAACCGATCTGGCAGCCCTAAAAAATTCTGCAAAAAAGGAAAATATAGCACCCTCTAGCGGCAATTAACTGAACCCATATGATTAAAAGTAGTACCAATATTCAACAGAGAAGCGCCACTGTGTAGATAAAATGTTGCCAATTATTTAAAAACATGTTGCCAGCACTTAACATGCCAGCAGCCTAAAATGTTGCTAATGTAATAACAGCATGTTGCCAACAACTTAAGATGTTGCCAAAGGAATTTTAACATTAAAATCTAGAAAAATTAATTAAATCTCGAGAAAAATCGAGAAAAATATTGAAAAATCGTGAAAAATATAGAAAATTCGTGAAAAATCGAATAAAATATAGTACAGGACTGAACCGAGTTGTAGAACGCCACAGTTCTTTTTTTTGAGGGGATCGACAGTGCCAAAAATAGCACTGGCTGAAGCCTTGGCCCAGACCCGGCTGCAGGCCCAACGCCGTTGTTTGCTTTTCTATTCGCCTTCTTACGAAAAGCCAAGCGCAAGGCATAGCCAGCACAGCCACAGCCTCAGCACAATACAGCACTGCAAAGGGGCTTCCCAGTGCCAAGCCGAGTCCCGTTTTATCCGTTGTAGTTTCTTTAATTTTATTTGGAAATAGATCTGCGACAAACCAACCAGTTGATAATAATAATAATAATAATAATAATAATAATAATAATAATAATAATAATAATAATAATAATAATAGTAATAATAATAATAATATTTAGATAGCTCCGTGGAGATTTATTCCTTCCTTACAACAGTATTTGTATGTGCCAACTAGCTTCTTATGCAGAGGATATGAACATTCTTGATTGCCAAATGAAGGAACAGTTCCAATCCTTATAGGGAAAACCAGCTATATCTCCACATATATGTACATATGTAGCTATATATACATAGCAACACAACTTGCCATCACTATATCTTAAGGATCTCATGTGAAAGATAGAATCGTTGGGCTAATAAAAACATTCGACCAACAAATGTAAGCCCTACTCTATTGTTATTATCAAATGGAAATTGTTTAAAGTACATATTTATTCGTACAGCTCTAATAAAAACGTTCTCCAAGCGATAATGATTGGATTTACCAATGGGGATTATCGTGTGGCACAACAAATAGTCGGCGTGACCAAAATACCATCAGACCGAATCAAAACAAAACATCCATCAGTGTACAGCGGGAAAACAAAGGCAAGGAAAGCGAAATAAAATAAAATGGGAAAATGGGAGAAAGAAAATGGAAAATGGAAAATGCACAGCAAAGGAAAACCACAACGGGGCTCTCTGCCCAAGACAAAAAGATTTACAATATCGCTTGGGAAGATTTAAAGGTGATTTCCAAAGATATATATTGTGTTTGAGTAGCGATAAATAAACAGACCGTTTTCTATTTTCCTCTCGCTTTCCCTGTATTCTAATTTTTTTGCTCAATTTGATGTGGGACCCGGTGAAAGCAAGGGCGAATCCCCACCCCCCACCAGCCACTCAAATTCGATGGAAAAAAGTCAGAGACAATTGGATGGTGGAGGAGGGGACTATGGACTGGGAACTGGGGGGAGAGTCTCCTCCATTAAAAGTGTCACATTAACGAATTGCTCTGCTGCCGCACAACTAATTTATGCCCCAGCACTAATCGCTGTTCAGGTAGGATCCGATTTATTTGATATCCCTCCGCGCGATCATAAATATGCGGCAAAAAGCCTTTCACAAACAACGAAAGAGCACAGTTTTCATTGAGCAGAAAATCGGCATTGCCATGAGGCGGGCAACTCGTAAATAAAACTCAGACTATACTCGATCGTGGCGAGGGGCGTGGCCTGGGGACGATTTAGCGTCCTTCTGGCCTAGAGTGCC